CTCGAGGGATAGGGAGAGAAAGCTGGCTGACGGAGTGCTGGTTAATCCCCTAAAGCATCCATATATTGCCTCCACCTTCTCTCCCACCGCTTGTAAACTGCAAGGAATGTAACATGTTGTCTTTGGGCCCTGCATGTGCAGACGCCTCTGGTACAGAGAGATTTATATTTGCAGACATTGCCCAAAGCATACCATGTTGCTTTTTTAACTCTGGAGGCTTTGAAGCTGAGGCAGAGCGTTCCAAAGAAACAACCAATATCAGAAATGTCCTCTCATTTGAGCCTGATTTATGTTTCATAACCACATTAGAGACCTGCCAAAGGCTGTCAGTTTTCCACTGAGTCAACATGCTATAGGCATTTGCTCAAAAACTATAGTTGGAGGACGAGGCTGCTTAATATTGGCTTTTAAGACTGGGTTCTAAGCATTCAATAAAATAAACATTTGTCTTGTGATATTCTTTTTCAAAACTAGAAAGACATGTCTCTATAGTGCTTTCAACTTCTTAAGAATTCCTCTGAACTCTGGAGCTGGATTCAGCTTGGGGTTTCTTTGCTTACGCACTTCAAGTAAACATGAAAAAGGAGCCAGGGAAGTTATTCAGAATTCAGAATCAAATAAAATGTAATGATAATACATGTATATACAGTATATTAAGCTGCAAAACCCTTGTGACCAATTGCTAAGAATCTCTGGAGGAGAGCCGTACTGCCTCCTACTGCACTTCTCTCCTCTAAGTATGTAGGCCAGCTCTGCTGTGATGAGAGCAGCCTGTAATGAGTGATGATAAAGGCAGCGACTGCAGCAACTACTCAAGGCTCAACAACCTGGGTTTATGGCTTTCACACAGCAATCAGCAAGGCCAAATAAATAGAGGAATAAATCATGAAAAAACACAATGTTCCCTGTATGTTTTCACTTAGCATATCTAATCTTAAAATCCTGTCTTGGCCAGCCAGTTCCCCAAAGCGAAACTCTAGATAACACAAGGAGAAAGAGATGTGAGGATGAAAGTTGGAAGAGGAGATGAGTAGTGACTTGGAGAGCAACCAAGTTAACTGTGTATAAAATCCACATGAATTACTATCAGCACCAATCTCTGTAATCCGTACAGTCAGCTGATCAAGTATTTCAGCAATACTGGCTGGTAATATGTGCAAAAGACAAAAGAAAATGAACAAAATGTAGGTGTAAACTGACTCTGACACTGAAGCTTCAAGTTTGCAAATAAAGGGCCATGAATTGAAAGTAATTCCGGGACAGAAACCATATCAGGCCCTGTTGAAGTCATTCTTGGAGGACAGCCGGGAGTTCCTGATAGTGTGCAGCTATAGACTCTGACAGGAAAATAAACAACATCGGGACTTGGTCAATAGGCCTTCCTGTAAGCTTGTTGCTTGCATGTCTTCTCAAGTATCAGGAAAGGCATTATTGATATGCTGCAACAAGACGTTTCTGCAGATGACACCTGATAGAGCTCATTCTCTCAACAGCGGGGATACGAACAAGTACTTTGGGCTGTTCAAAATGAAATCCATGACATGTTGGATTTAGGAGCCGGGGGACATGTTTCTTGTACGTAATTTGATCCACAGCATTTCTTTAAATAGGCCGGATACATACTGTTGCATTGTACTACACACTTCACCTACATGCTCAGGAGCAGCATGGGCATTGTGGAGAACAGTTTTTTCTTTATTATCTTTTCACTCAGTAGAACACCTCAGTTAGCAGGAGAATAATTGTCCTGTTATTTTAACTAAGGTGCAGGGCCAAGGAGTCAAACCCAAAGAGAGCACAGAGGTCCGACATGAATGCAGGCACTCCTGCATAACCCCCCATCCACCATCACTACCCCCACCCCCTCAACCTCTCAGAACCACAGCAGCGTAAGAGCCTCATTTAGGAACACAGAAAGAAAGGCAGAAATCTCTTTCTCAGGAAGATTAGTGGCCGTCCTCCCTTTGGAGTAGGCCTGTGGCCTGTGGATGGAGAGGGAGATCAGGGTAAAGGGCGTATTTATTTTTTCTAGGATATTTTTCTTTGCCGCTGGGGGGACTGACCTGGTCTAGAGAAAGGCCCTGTGGCCAGTGCAGAGACCCTGTGGGAGACCCTTAAGACTCACACTCTGCATGAGCCTTATCCATGATGGCCATTATTAACACTCAGATGCTTATCGCAGCAAGACTAATTACACTAGACTTCTCCTCATCCATCTACTCTACAGTCCATTTGCTCCTGCAAGACTAGAGCAGGGGTGATTTAACTCTATATTCTTATTTAGAGACAGCAAGTGTTGACAAAGGTTAGGAGATTTTTTTATGCTGCCTCTCAGTGGCAACCTTCTTTGGATGCAGGATACATCAAAGCTGTGAATAATTATATGTAGACATGTGTTTTATATGCTGGAGAACATCAATTCATGGCGGGGTTCGCAAGTTGTGGCCAGACTCTAAGAAAGATGAACATAACACACTTGTTAGGTGGAAATAAGAGAGCGCATCTGCTCCACTGGCCTCGTACAGTCAACATCAAAGTGAGGGATGATGGAAAAATTCTCTTTGGCAAACTTTCTCAGTATATAGGGCCGTGAAATAACAAGTTGGCAGATCTATGTTTAAAACTGTCGCTCTTCCTCGGCTGAGGCCACAGGAAGGCAGCGAAACAAAGCACATGTGAGCATCCTTACCCTCAGATTGTGTGAAATACGGAGGACGAGGTGCATCAATCACAGGTATTCCTTTGAAAGCGTGAGATGTTTTACAGTTCTGGAAGCGGGCACCTAATCTGAACACATGTTACTCTGACATGGTTCGGCACAAGCTGAAACAGACTCGTAAATCCAGAGGGCCTGGGAGTCAGGTTGCAAGGGCCGAGCCTGTGGAAGCATGCCCTGTAGCTGTGAGACAGATGCAGGCAGTCTCACAAAATGTGGGTGCCCACTTAAAACATTTAACAAGGCCATGATAAAGACGCCTGATTCCAATCATCTGACCTGAACCTGACCTGTGCTCCTGTGCCAGCATCCATGGCTGCTATTCTACCTGCTCTGTTTCCCCTTGGAGCCCGATATGCCTCCATATATCTCTGCACTCGAAGACAAAGGAGAGTTCAACAGGGCACGACATGTCTCCGTGAAACAAAAGCAAAGTAAGCTCTCATGAAACAGGTTATGAGATTCATGGCGGATGACTGAACAAGATGTTCTCAGATTATTTCTACTTTTTGACTGTGAAGTTTTATTTTCATGCATAAAAAACTATAGCATAGTATGCATAGTTTTGACTAATTTGTGATTCCAACTCAAATATGAGTGAGTTGAATAAACAAAGACCATGACTATATCCCAACTACTTGATTTATTCACACTTGTCCCACATTTTTGTTTGCACATGCTCATTATTCTTAGAACCAGTTCAAATAAAAAGAAGGAATAATCAAATTAAAAACAAAGGCAAAGCTTTAAAACTATCTACTGAAATCCTAATGTCCTACTTCTACTGATCCCGTGTGACAAAGTGAGCTTTGTGATGGCAGGCCACCAGGCCCTTCATCAAACAGTAACACAACTTGAATGATATGTTTCTGCAGTGGCCCATAAGATGATGCCAGTGTGTCTTCCTGGGGGTTTCCAGTGTCCAGCAGCCGGAGTTAGTAATTTATAACAGTGGTACCTCAGAGGCCCGAGGAAGGTCCTCCAACCTCGTTATGAGGAGTTTTCATCACACATTCACTAATGAAAACATGAGCTCTCATCTTTTAATTATGACCCCATTATAAAGGGAATCTTGCACATCCTGCACCCTCTGTGTGACCTCACAAGCACAAATAAACCCTGACGGGTGTGGAGAGACTTTTTTTTTCTGTTTTGCAAGGTTATAGAAATTCAGCCCTCACAGCCTACATCACACACAATGGTCATAACTGTGTAAAAGAATGAATAATTCAGGGCATGGCAAGCACAATATTTTCTTCTTTACTGTTTTGAAAAACTTGTGGCCTCTTTGTGGAGGTGCCAGGGAGTGCGCACTGAAACGTCCTAGTTTCTCACCCTGCATCCCCAAACAATTAATGCTCATGGCTCCTCTCATGGCAGGCCACCAAACCCATCATTAAGCAAAAATACCGCCACAATGTCACACGACATCTTGTTAGCATTTCAAAGGTCCCTCCCTCCTCCCAGCCTTTATCCGAGGCCTCTGATAGACCGTGTTGTCCACTGCTATGCCAGCCTTTTAAGTAATTCATGAAATTTACACTCGGGAGGTGAGAACAAGGTCTTTCGACCTCATTAAAGCATTTTTTCATCACCCATTCTTTGACATCTCTGAAACATGCAGCCCCCATCTCCGGGTCTAACTCTTTTCATGTGCCACCCAGCAACTTATGTGAGTAGCCATAATGTTCCAGTTCAGTGCACTGCAGAGTACAAGATCCTGGAGAGAGCGCATCAGGATACAAGACTGCTGTACTACACTAGTGCTTCAAATAGAGCCACAGTACTGCCAATGAATCCATACATTTCAATTCATTTCAATCACCAAATAAATAAATTTACTTGTTTACATCGCAATTATTTTGTGTCACACACACACACAAATAACAGTTTGTTAGGAACAACAAGCTAAAACTAATAATAATAATAGCTTGAATTTATATAGTGATATTCAAGGGACCAAAGCTAATACATACTATTGCAGCAGCCATGCATGTATAAGACCTTCATAATGTTCAATTTGGACTTTGTGGTTATTTTGCAGGTTGCAATTTGTTGTGCTACTGAATTGTGTAGTGTTTTAGGGATGGGTGATACCATTATTCTGTCCACAGAGAGGATGGGCTAAATAACAACAAGAACTGTTCATTACAGCTTGGCTAGGCTGTTTTATTAGATTAGGTTTAACTGTGTCAATCTGATAAAATACCAATGTCCTTCTTCCAGTATGTCAAATATAATAATAGTTTAAATCACGTGTGAGAGTATTGGGAAATTGCTGTACCTCTGGTCAGGGTGGTGGGTGAGGGCTTTTTTGGCAGTTCTGAGAAGCTGCTTCCATCCAAACCTGAACCCTTACACTCCTTCTTCTCAGTGGCTGTTGGAGCTGAAGTCTCCATGGTGCTCCTCAACTTCAACCTGCAGAGGCAAAAAAATGTGGTCGATTAAGTAATGCACTGTGCATTTCAAGCAGTTAGATTGGAGAATTTGTTGAATTACATTGAAGAATGGAGCAGTGATCCCCAACATTGCTGAATCAATTAATAGCAACACCCACAACAATAAGGTCACTCACTATACTAGAAAATGAATTTCCTGCAGAACATGCAGTCTGAGTTGCTGAATAACTTTACTGACACAAGCTGAGAATGCATGATGGTAAAAAGTAGAGGACAGGATCAAGCGAATGTGAGAATATCACAAGGTCCTTGTTTGATTTCACTACTACAGCAGCCTCCCACAGACTCCCACTATGAAATTCAAAAATATTTTAATATTTTAATAAGTATGAGGAGTTGTAAAAAATACAAATGAGAGCAGGAATGTCCTGAACAAGCTGAATGTGTTGTTGCTGGAAATCGGTTGAAGTAGCCTTTGCCTGTGCGTGTGTGTGTTTGTTTATGTTGAACTACTAAATATTAATTTAAGTTTTGACTTACTTTTTGTCATACATACAAATATTTTTTTAAATACACGAAGAACATTATTACTGTTTGCACTGCAATTTCTCTCTTGGTGTGTGTGTGTGCATGTGTTCTGTCAGTGTAACTGATGTCAGGTCAGGCCCTAAACACACATACAGGTTTCTCAGTTTGATAAAACAGCAACACTCCTCAGTTCCAAAAGTAAACACGAGTGAGGTTTCAGCCACAAACTCTGTGTGAATACATCCACATGTCTGTGTCAATGGCTCAATAACCTGGCAAAGTGCCACTTGTTGGACTGGATGGGACCCGCAATGTAACCCTCTGCCAAGAACAAACAAGACCCAGTCCAGTGGTCTGGGGGTGGGTGGGGTCCTCATTCCACTCTAGTTAGCTTGGCCTTCACTTTGCTGCCTGCTTTCAGACACAGACGAGAAAATGTCTGTGTGCTTTGACAGAATGCTGAGATGGGG